TTAAAGTGCAGTTCCTTTCTCCATTCTCTGGGTTAATGTGTGCAGCAGTGTCAAGCCCGTCCTGATGTAAAATAAATGGTGCCAACGCATGTTAAAATCATTGTCTGATGATGAGGACTCCATCTGCATCAGAGGGGTTTGTTTTCACATTTTTACAGCACGTTGGTCCTGTACATGTTTCGTTATCTTCTGGATGTTGAACTTATTTGTTCTATTCTTTTTAACTTTATAGGAACCTTAAAGGATCAGCGAAGAAGAAGCAGAAGACAGAAGCGACGCCGGGTAAATTTAAGAAGGGGAAGTTGACTTTACCAAAGACTCCTTGATTCTTTTGGGGAAGTAACTATTCAACATGAGCGACACCAACTAAATAAAGAGTATTAACATGAACGTAGAGCTACAAGTGATGTAGGAGGAAGCTGCAACACGATGAGGTTTTGTGCAATTAGTACTTCAGCTGAACAACTGTTCATACAAGACCAACGTGCATTTATTGACTGACAAAATCAGTTTGATGTTTTTTTTTATCAAATTGTGTTTTCTGTTGTTAAATAAATACATTTTTTTTACCAATGTGTTGTTAGCCTTTTTCAAAATACATTATTAGTATAATTATTCTGCCCGGCACATTTCTGTGTATGTTCTTCTAGGCCGTACTCCTGCACACACACACACACACACACACACACACACACAATCAGCTCACAGGTGCATGCAGATTATTGATGAGCACCATTATCTCACTCAAAGTAAAAATAACACACAACATCTACACTTTGCAGAAACAAGAGCATCATTTTAACAAGATGGACCATAAAGAATAATTAATGAATGCGTAAATAGGAAAGAAGCGCACATCCTCCTGTAAGCCTGGAGAGAATATGGTTTCATATTTGATGTAATCTTACAGAACAGTTCATGTCATAACTGTTGTTTCTGAAATGGCAAAACAAGACAATTATTGAAATAAATATAAATGCACATGAGCAGGAGTCCAGTTAATAATGCATCAATAATCATTCTCTGGAGACATTTTATTCAGTACAAGACGATCAAAATGAAAAGTATCTGCCTCTCGTTTGTCACGTTTTCACATGTTTAGTTGGTGTTGCGACTCTGAGTGAGGTGAGAAACCATTATTTAGCTTTGTGGCTCTAACAGATGAATAAGGAGAAGTGGGGAGCGTCTGCCACTCAATACATTCTGAGGACGTTCAAGAACAGGGGAAGTCGTTTAGTCAGAGTCTAGAGGATTCTCACTTGTGAAATACAACTTGACAAACAAGTATTTCACCATTATCTAAAGTCTTGAGATTGAACATTGTTAAAGGAAATTCTAATTGTTTTCTCATTAGTGCAAAGTCTCCCGTTAAGCCGAATCTTCCAGACCGTCCAAAGGACATTAAGGTGGTCATCAGTGCAACTGGAGGCCACCAGCAGAGGGATGCTCATGCACAGGATCATCACTTTAATGTGATTGTATTATTGTGGGTAATTTGAAGGTTCCAGCAGCAGAAATATTGGTTTGTGATGTTTTAAAGTCATAAAATGTTCCCTGAAGTAGAAGGTGACCATGCTGTTGTGTTGCAGGTGATCAACAGTATGAACGAGTTGGTGCTCAAGTCGTAGAGAAAGTTGTGGGAATCATAATGCTCGTCAGTATTTTGATCTTTCAGCGGTCGGACTAAATATTCTGTCATGTGATCATTTGCAGAGACTAATTCTATTTTAGAGCATGTTTTGTATCTGTAATAAATCATTGATATGATTTCTTATACAACAGGACCCCTTAATGTCGTCTCCTTTCCTTCTCACTAAACCAGTGACGGTGAGCTACTTGAGGAGGAAGGTACATTATTTACAACTAAACTTTGCTCAAGTCTCAGGATGAAGGAAAGCAATCAAACAGCATAGCCAACAGTGTCTGCACCATCAGGGGACGGTGGACCACAATGCATTGCAGGTCCATGTAGCTACGGATATGAGCAGTAAGTATGTGACTGCTTGCTTTTCTGAGAAGTTCAGGTCATGTGACATCTAACACTTCATTCGGTTTCAACCTTCTTTTTGTGGTTAAATATGGAGTTTGTTATCTTGCTCAAACACGTTCCTGAAAGTTCCTCAATTGTAGCACTTCTCTGCGATCTGAAGACGTCTCTGTTTCTCCTTTTTGCTGTGGGCCTATTTGATGAGGCAAAGAGTTTAACTGGTTCTGTAGAAGCCTTTTCCCTTCGTCCCTTTACTCCCTGATCAGCTTCTACCGGTGGCTGAGCTGCATATATCTTGACGCGTGCAGTTTGTAAAGATGAGGAGTAGAAGTTGATCCGGTTCGGTGCAATGACCATTTATTATTCTTAATGTATAAAGAATGTACAAACCAAAAACATGAGGTGAAAATAACAAACAATTAAACTGAAGCAGTCTCTTATATGGTGGGAGACGGCTTGTCACGTCATGTCCCTCACGTCTCTCCACCACACGGTCAAATGTCCTCTCAGGACAAACCCACTGCTGTGTCTTCCTGTCTTTAAAGCCTTTCCTTGGGCTCCAACTTCAGCCTCCCAACCGTACTCTAGGTGGGGTAAACAGACCTGTGGCCATATTACTCACTACTATTCACAAGAAAGAAACATGATATACACCTCAATATGGCTCCTACAGGTTGTGTTAATTCACATCTTGTTTGTTTTATAATCTGCCCTAAAATGAAAGGTTTTGTATTTGTGTTTGCGGGATGTAAATCAAGGTTCTCATGTTGAGTAAACTTAAACACAACAAATACACAGCATGTTAATGTGTGAATTTATATAGTGAATTTTCTTCAAAAAAACACAAAGTTTTAACAAAATCCAGATTGAGTGTGAGTTGAGTTGAGTGTGATGGAGGTCCAGGCTGTGAGAATGGGGACAGACGGCCTGTTCCTGAGTGTCTACTTAGTTTCAGGTGAGCTGCTGGTTCAGTCCCTTTTATTTGGAGACGTCACTTTAATCATTTACAGTGTGAACTGTAAGACGAAAGCAGAAAGAGTCACTTGTTCCATCTGTTCATGTCCTGACTGGAGGTGGTGATAGTTATTCATAAAAGGCTGCTGCTAACTTTCTAGTGTTGTCAAAGTTTGTTCATCATCGCTCTCTTCATACAGAATTATTATATATAATGTTAATCATTAGATTGTTTCACAGTGCTTCTGTTGCTTGTTATAAGGATTCACTTCTATTCATTACTGCACCAAAAGAGATGGAAGCACTGACGGGATCTTGTTTGCAAATTCAGTGTAGTGTCGTAAAAATTACGTATGCATCCATAAGGTCCACATAAATAAAGGAGAGATGGTATTTATCAGACGCTAAATGCTTCATTTCATGCTTCGGGCGACTGTGGGTGAGTGGGGAGCACGGTCGTCCTCCAATCAGAGGGTTGTGGGTTCGATCCCAGGCCCGGCTAACCCGCATGTCGTTGTGTCCTTGGGCAAGACACTTAACCCACCATTGCTCCTGTAGCTGCGACTACAGTGTGTGAATGGTAGTTACTGATGGCAGGTGTCACTGTGTATGGTTCTCCTGTCATCAGTGTATGAATGGGTGTGAATGGGTGAATGATGTCATGTAGTGTTAAAGCGCTTTGAGTGGTCAGAAGACTAGAAAAGAGCTATACAAGTACTTACCATTTAATCATTTAAAGGACTTTTATTTAATCGTTGGCTGGTGAATTAATGGGCGTTGTGGTATTTTTTGTTGTGGTTTTAGTACAATACAAGTGTGTGTGAATTCTATTTTATTTGCCATTTGCAGGAACACCAGCAGTGATATTTGTCTCCACCTCCCAGTTCCTCCTCCTTCCTCTCACAGACCATCTTGGTTCAAAGACCTGTGACTTCTGCATTAACTTGTCAGACAGCAGACTGCACTGAAGAAGAAACACTCACTCAATGTAAGTTAATGTCACCTTCAATACTTCATTTTAGTAGCACAGCAAAAAGAGGAAACTGTCTTTTTATTACTAAAATATCATCGTTACGAGAGATTTAACTCTAACTAATCACCAACAATTTTACTGATTGCCTGATGTATCAATGCAGAGAGAAGTTTAATAGACATTAGAGATGAAAAGGAAGTAGAAACTATGAATGAGGAAATGTTTTGACTATCGGGGTAAGTCATTTATTTAAAGTTTATTAAAGCAATAAGGTACGGGAGGCTGTACTTTATCGTCTCAATAACAGTTCGGGGGTGTTGTTGGGCCCGACGAGCAGCGGGATGTCCCGCACCATCTCATTCATTCACATCATGACGTCCACCTTAATTGTCCGGTTGCTAAAGCTCGCGTTGCCCGAAAACGATCATTTGTGGGATTTCTGTTTTTTTTCGGCGATCACCACCGAACTGAAAGCTAAAATATCAACTAACAGTCGAGCAAAATCTAACCTGCTACTTTGACTGCGCAGTGATACGGAACACTCGGGTCAATGTGAACAGCAACTGTACATTATAGATCAATAATATACCCTCGTGACTCACTGTCAACCAATCAGAACGCTGGATTTCATCTACCTGTTTTATAAACGTTAATAACACAATAAGTGTGTGAGGTTCATCAGTCCTGTAATGCAGATCAACAGAGACTCAGAGTTATTCACAGTGACTAAACTCAAGTCACTGACTGTTAATGCTACATTATTATTATTGTGATGTGTGTGATACATAAAGATGATATAGACTCACGGATATGAGCAGTTAAGGGGAGAACTCTGCTAAAACAAAGACCTGCACTTGATCTAATTGTCCCTCTGTTATGGACGTGGGCTTCTTTGGTAAGAGGGAGACATTCATAGTTTTATTCTCATCCAACACTCAGAGTCGTACTCGTCCACAGACTTGTGAGCTGTGGTCTCTTCACACACAGGAACTTGTGGTTGCACACAGCATGTTGAACGCTTCCTAGAACACTGATGTTGTGTTTGTGAATCAGGTGGTGAGTGTCATGGCCGACCAGTCTGTTAGGATGGTGACAGCCATCGTGTTGCACAGTGTCTTCTTCCTCTCAGGTGAGCTTCATCTTCACTCACTTGTGTTTCACTTCAATCATTTACTGTTTGGAAAATATCATTTCAACCTAAATTCATGTGAATGTTACAATCTGTGTTTTCCTGCTGAGCTCTTTTATCACAGAGACAAAAGTGACGTAGTTATTTGGAGACAGAGACGGGTTTGGTCCCACTGGGCTCGGCCTTGTGGGGGAAAGTTGTAAAACCAAAAAGATGAATCAACACAAAAACTGTTCAGGGAAAAAAAGAACACAACGCAAAACATTACTGCTGAAGTATATTTCTCTTTGTGTTCATGTTATTGTTGTGTTTTTACATATTTTAATCACCACTGTTAATCATTAGTTTGTTTCACAGGTGCTTCTGATGATTGTTATAAGACCAGACATCTATTCATCACTGCACCAAAAGAGATGGAAGCACTGACTGGATCTTGTTTGCAAATTCCATGTAACTTCAGCGTGAAATCAGGAGAGAAAATCAACAGCAGAACAACAACCTTTGGAGTGTGGCTTAAAAATGGCCCTTTTATTGGCAGACCTCCCAGTGAGGTGATTTCCAACAGTAGTGGGACAGTTTCCACATATCCGATGAGTTTTACTGGAGACTTGAGTCAGAAAAACTGCACCACTTTTTTTTCCAGTTTAAACACAACATACACAGGCACATACTACTTCAGGGTTGAGAACCGGCCATTTCTATCAACAGACGAATGTGATGGTCTTCAAATAACAGTGAAAGGTAAGAGACTTTTGTTTTCCATAAAACAATCTGAGATGTTACTACTTAAGGCTGCGCACGCTTCTGCTTCTGCTTCTGCGTCGTTGCGTCGACGCACTCGCTTCAATTCATGGTTCTAAAAGTCTTGCAGAGCAATTCACCGCCAGAACAACAGGCGGAGTAACATGTTTCTGTTGAAGACGACCTAGAGAGTCACGTCTCTGTGTGTGGAAGTTGTTGGTTTGTTTATTTATTTATCATGCACTTTATTGCCCCGTGCATCGACACGGTTGCTTTTCATCGCGGACACATTTGTCGTATTTTCCTCCACAACTTTGTGCAGCTCTCGACCGGCAAACCGGCGTTTGCGGAGATCTCCCTCCATGAATCCAACCCGGGTCATATTTATGCATTTCTTCCGACAAAAGTTCTTCAATCTGATCCGTTCTCTCGTAAACATTCTTCGTTTTAATAATGGCGGTATCGGGCTATGAAAACGGAAATGTGAGACTCCGTAAAGGACGTAGTTAGCGGACCAATCGCAGCCTGGTGCGCTGCGGGAGGCTTGCGTTGCTTTCGACGCAAGCCTAGAAAAATGGGCCGACACACGCAAGGACGCAAGGAGGTGTGAAAAGGCAGAAGCTTAAACTAGGCTTTACCTTCTACTTGTCTCTGTTTTATTCAAACTTGTAATGTGAATATAAATATCTACAGACACCAACCAGAGATTGAAATGATATGAATTTATCACTACTATTATTAAAGAAATTCAAGAGAAATTCATAGCTCCTGACAAACATAATATACACATACAGTTAAACTATTAAAAAGGATCATCAAAAAAAAAAAGTAAAGTTAAAACACATGTTAAAAGTTCAGGCTGGGCTGCACGTACATGCCAACTTTTGTATCTAATGCTTAGAAAAGGAGAAGTTACAAAAGTTTCCTTTTGTGGACTATTTACCATCAGCGTTTTGACAACATTAATTTGTGAAAGTCAACATTTTATTTTCTCCTAATAGAGGGTCACAAATTAAATCTGAGGGGTCATGAGATTGGTGGGAAAAGAAAAGAGAAAACAAGTTCTGCTAAACATTTGAGTTCATATTTGGGACTTTTCTCTAATATTTGATTCATTATGAAGTAGTGTAATTATTAAATGAAGCCATGTGAGAAGTTCAGAGGAGAAATGTTGATGAATCTGCTGACATTCAGAAACATTAGAAAAGTGACTAAAATAAACAAAAAATAATAATTCAAACATTTCACTCTCAAATGTAGAAGAGTACTTTTATCACAGACTGTAGACGCAAGTCTTGTTGCTCTTTTTTCAGTGTACAATCTGTGTTTTATTTGAAACCACAGATTCTCCTCCAAAGCCCAGGATTGAGATCTCAGGTGATGTGAAGGAGAAGGAGTCTGTCTCTATAAGCTGCTCAGCTTCCACTCCCTGTCCACACTCTCCTCCTCAACTCACCTGGAACCTCCAACCAGACTCTCACCACATGATGGAGGAAAACACAGATCGAACCTTCACAACTAGAATCCAGAAGAGCATCACTCTGTCACATGAACATGATGGATTCATCATCAGCTGTTCTGCCAGATATCCTGTGAATGAAGGAAAAGATGTAAAGACGTCAGAGGAGAGAAAGACTCTCAATGTTTCATGTGAGTGTTTGTTCTTTGATCCTGTCAGCATACGATGATTCATGTCTTCACACAATGTCAGCTGCATGAAGTTTTAATGTCACATTTTCCTCAGATGCTCCCAAGAACACCTCGGTGTCCATCAGTCCATCACGTCGGGTGTCAGCAGGTAGCCGGGTGAACCTGACCTGCTCCAGCAGAGCCAAACCTCCTGTGAGCCGCTTCACCTGGTTCAAGACCAGCAGAGATGCACCAATCAAAGTATCTGAAGGAGACTTTTACAGCTTCAATGTCACTGATGGAGGAGTTTATTACTGTGTGGCCACCAATCAGCTTGGTGATCAAACATCCTCAGAGGTCCATCTGACTATAGGAGGTAAACACAGAACTGTATTACACTTGTTACTCTGTTAGAGATGCAGCTTTTTGTTTCCATAGAGATTTGCCAAAAAGTGTTTTCTACACATATAGGGTCTCATTTATATTCATGGCGTTTGCACAAGAGGCCGAGCCACTTTAAAAGCAGAAATTTTAATCTATAAAAACAATTTTGGCGTTTTGGAGACACAGGTGGTGAATTGAAGCCGTACTGTGAAAATGAAATCTGAGAAGCATCATTACAACAAAACATCTTATATTTAACATCCATCCCACGTTACTTTGCACCAATCGATCCTCTTCATCATTAACAGTAAAACCAGCAGAGTCATTAGTTCTTGTACTAGTGTATATAACAGTACACACGTTTCAATCGTTAAAGATGTAAACCAACTCAAACCTAAAATCAAATGTGGCTTAATATCTAATATTTAGTTCTCCTACTCTCTGCTGTACGAGTCACTCTTGGTCTTCTGTGGAGCAGCTGATGGATTCGTCATCATCCGATAACGTGAACTGTTGAATAACTGCAGAACACGGCCTCGTCATTTAAAACAAATCTTTTAGTACTTTGCATCTTGAGCCAAGTAGTATTTGACTTTTCATCAAGTGTTTGGGACTAAAATCGCTGCAGGAAACACAACTTAATTTCTGATTATATATATATATATATTAGTTATTCCATGCAGTGACGGAGAGATGCTGCATCTGTGTAACGCATCACAGGAGACAGGAGTAGACCCAATGTCACTGATGGAGGAGTTTATTACTGTGTGGCCACCAATCAGCTTGGTGATCAAACATCATCAGAGATCCATCTGACTATAGAAGGTAAACACAGAACTGTATTACACATGTTACTTTGTTAGAGATGCAGTTTTTGTTCAGTCGTGCACCTTCACAGGTTCATTTGGGATTTAATAAAAGGAAATAGCTCACTGGCAACGCAATGCTTTACACATCTGGATGTGTTTTGGAGTGCGTGCATTTCCTCCTTTGAACGTGTGCACATATTTAGAGGGGATCCTTCGCACTGCTTTAACAAAGAGACCCCTGATCTTTTCTCATCATCATCCAAGTCTTCATGGCTGTTAAGTGACCAGCAGTGATGGAGGCACATTGTGTTATTGTGGATGCAGAAATGAGCTGCACATTCATCTATTGACAGAACATCTGTTAGTATTTGAAGGTCACTGCAGGAATTATGAGTGATAACATTTTAAAGGTGACCATGTCGTTGTGTTGCAGGTGATCAACTGGTTGGTGCTCAAGTCATCGTGAAGGTCCTGGGAATCATTCTGCTCGTCACTACTTTGCTCATCTTTGAGTGGTGAGAAAACCTTTTCTATAATATGATTGTGTGCAGATACACACCAGCTTGTGTCATTGTGACTGTTGTAATGCAATAATGCATGATTCATTATCAATATTCATAATGATGAATGAATAATACGAATAAATTGCAGAAGTAATTTCTGCAAATAAGATGCAGAAGGTCAAATATAACAACTCACTCCTTGTTACTCACTGACATTTGAAAGGCTCATAGTGTATTATTATTATTATTATTATTGTTGAAATACATCATCTCCTAATAATAAGATTATAAATTGCACTGTTTGCTTTAAGAAAAGAAGACAAATCTTTTATTCTACTTGACCCCTTTGACCATCAAAAGAAGCTTTTGGTTGCTGCTCGTTTTAACGTGTGAAAAAATCCTTGAAAATGTCCAGTTTGTCTTTGATGGTAATTAATTTCTTCTCCAAATACAAACAGAAGACAGATCACTTTGTTTGTCTTCATCCACCTTTTCCTTCTCTAAATTAATAATATATCATAACACTTTTTCTGTTGGTTATCATACACCATCAAACAACACTCGCACCTTCTTGCACGTCCTTACAAACTGTTTACTCCTCACAATAACAACCACCTGTTCCTGTAATGCTGCTGATTATATCGACCTTGTGGCCTAATTTACAGCGTCATTACGCCCCCAAGTGGTGGGAGGTGAACAAAACAACTAAACGTTACATTTAAGTGAAATAATAACCACAGAGTAACTTGCAAATGTCTCTGCTTTAGCTTTTCCCTCCCCAGCGTGTAAAGTCTGCTCGTGTCTCTGCTGCTTTTCATTGGCTTTGTAAAGAGAAAAAGTGAAGTAAAGATCTGAACCCTGGAAATAAATCTTTTTGTTGTTTTATTCCTCTGCACCGGAGTCTCAGTCCTGATCGCTCACACTAACAAAATCCTTCCTTCTTCTTTTCCTTCCAGCTGGTTGAAATCAAGACGCTGCACCAAACCACAGGAGGTAAGACATCAGAAGAGGAGAGATTGATTCATGATCAGGCCCGTTTGGTTTACAACATTAGCACAGGAATAATCCTTCAATGGTGGTGATGTTTAAAGAGCAGAGTCTCCTCCAATGCAGTGAAGCACGTCTCCAAATGAATGCTGATGATGCTCTGTGTCTGCTGGATGGTGTCTTTGCTAAGCTGTGTGCCATAAAAGCTTCTTCAAGTGCTTCCATTCATTCATCCATGAGAACAAAATATCCACAATGACAACCTACAAAAATGAAGACTATGTAAGAACTATTAAAACACAACATAGTTAGAACAGCTTTAAACCTGCATTCATTTATTAAGGGCCAGTGCATGAAGCTGTAAACACAACATGGACATTTCATCACTTCATAAAGATGATATGGTGAACATTATCCTTAGTGTGTGTGTGTGT